ATCGCACGTCGAGTGCTTTAAATAAAAGTAAATGGAGTGCCAGTTTATGTGGACGTGTTTTAATAGTTTAGATTGATTCAATCCTAAATCTATAGCTCCTTGCACCTGCAACAATTTAATGCGTAAATCCTTGTAATTTTTGAACTTTGATTGTGTTACTTCTTTCTATCTTATTATAAATGCGCTGACTATAAATACATTCTCTCAAATGTAAACCAAACAAATGCATGGCTCTGTTTTAGGATGGATTAATAATGCATTATTATTGAACTAAATGGACATTGTATAATATGTATTAGTTTAATTTAAACAGGTACAGCATACATCTTAAATGAGGCTTAAATTATAATACTTCTGTAATAGTTTACTGCTCAATGTACTTATATATTTCTTCTTAACTAAACGTAATACATTTAAACTTCCAGGTTTAAAATGCAAAAACATTGTCGTTACGATAATAAATACTTATTAAGATTACTATTTACAACAACTATTGTACATCTTTTGCTGATACTCCCCGGTCACTGTTAATGTTACATTGATTGAAACTATGACACATAATAAAAAAGATATGCTAGAAACCTTAATTTAAAAAGATTGTTGCGATAGTATGACCAATCTCTTTACTAAACAACATTTCCCCTTGTGCTATTTTTGAATGATAAAATATTCAACCAACTACACTTTTTCCTATTGAGTAAGTCTAATGGTACATGTGAACCAGCATCAGCATTTCCGAAATATTTAAGCGATTTACTGAGATTAATGTAAAAACACTTTTATAAATTTTTTTTTTACTTACATAAAATGATGCTAAAGCATGTAGTCATAGTGTATGAGAAGAACAAGCACTTTATTGGCAATGTGCTCTTTTTATTTACCTGGATTATATCGAAATGCAGCATCGTCTTCTTATATTCTAACTATATCTCAACATATTATTACATCCTTAGGTATTTCTTTTTCTTATCCTTCATTCACAAATTTGTGCATATCATTACATCACTCTTTTTAGTTTGTTGCATATGTTTGAGTAATAGCAATATTGGAATGCTTCAAAAGTGATTCATGCTTTCCAGATTGTTATGTTCTGATCCATCATTTTTAACGTAAATCATTTAAAATATGATTGTCTAGACAAAGTCTTACACTAATTTGAGATTGAAGCAGCTGTACATAATATCGCCTTTAATACTTATCATTATTATGAAAGTCAATTATTCAAAACTCAATGCTATATCTTGTTATTACATAATATATCCTTAATACTACCTGAAGTATTTTAAGTGCTACCTCAGATTTTGAAGTTGAGAAGATGTTAAATATACACTCAAGTCTTTACAGTTTGCACAATTTGTAAGATAACAAAAAGAAATAATATATTTTTCTCCTTTTTGTCTTCCTTTTCACATGCCTACACTGCTGGTAAATTAAATGCTTATCAAAATATGCTACTGAATAGGATTCAACGCCGAC